ACCAAGAGAACCAAGAGGAACCAAAAATCTAAATCCCAAACCCCCAGAAAACCCAAACCATAAAGACCAAAACACTCGCCAGCCTCCCAATCAATGGGCACATCCCCGATCGTCCCAATTCTTGATAATGCCAAACGGTATCCTTGTGAGGAGCGAGTAATCGAGAAAGGTAGAAAGAGATGGGTGGGCTGGGGTGGTATTTATACTCTATGAAGAGTGAGAGGGTGGAAAAAGGTTTGGTAGGTAGGTAGATGGGTGATGAGGTGAATTATGATTATGTAATATTTCCCACTTCGATGCGAATCGATATCATCTACCATTCGATTCTTTCTCACTTGAAAAATACTAGTGGTGAATAGCCAGCCGGTCTACTATGCATGACAAAAAGACAATTCAAGAAAACAAACAAAAAAAGATTCAAGTACTCGAGAAGAAATTTAAGTTCATTCCATTCATTAACCCCCAAGTCATTATTTGGCGTGCGCCACTCCCTTTATTTTACCCAGTCCATAATGCAAAAAGTCCCACCAACCGGTATATGCATCCAGTATCCAGTATCCTAATATGCTCACCCATCACATACAACCTTCTCCCTTCACAATTCCACCTCAACCCTACCTCGGAATCAACCCAATCTGCACTCCCTTCGCACTACAAAGCGTCAACGCAAGCTGTTCCGCCCACACCGTCCCATCTCTATCTTCTATGCCCCCAAACTCCTGCAACAGTCTCACAATCGTATAACTCGCTTCCGCCAGCGCAAATTGTTGTCCTACACAGATTCTCGGTCCGCCATTGAATGGGAGATATCCCCAACCGGGTCGTAATCCTTCTTCTGGGGCCCAACGCTCTGGTCGGAATTCCTCTGCGTCGGGACCATAGATATCGGTTCGACGATGCATAGTGTAGGTTGACCATGCGACGGCTGATCCTTTGGGAATGTAGATTGGGGATTTACGGTCTGGACCGCCGCCGACGGGGAGAACGGTGTCGCGGGCAGCAAAACGGGCGTTGGCTGGGACGACGGGGTAGAGACGGAGGGCTATTAGTGAGAATTAGATACATTTGTATAGAGAGTTAGGAAATAGAAACCTACATTCGTTTAAAATATATTTCAAATACTTCAATCCCTTCATTGTCTCGTAATCCGGTTTCTCGCCACCCAGTTGGTCAACCTCTGCCTGTAGCCTCTCCCAAATATCCGGTCTGCGCGCGAGAACATGGAAAGTATTGCTGAGTAAACTTGCAGTTGTGTCTCGACCAGCGAGAAGTATATTAAGTAATTCATCTCTCAATTGTTTAGGATCTCTTGTTACCTTTACCATTTCTGTAAGAAAAACGTATCTACCAGCCCCATCCCCCTCTACGGCCTTTTCTTCTTTCGCATCAATCTTGGATAGAGCATCGTGGACGATTTTGTCGACAAATGAATGTACGGTTTTGCATGCTTTGTCAAATTCAGAATCTCGCATGAAACTTGACAGCTTTCCCATTGAAAATCTTCCCTCTACTTTCATTTGACACAGGTCAAACGATGATCCAAAATTTTGTTGTTCGGAGCCTTTGATACTGGTGAGTGAATGAACTGATTGGCCGAAAAGGAAGTCTGTGGCTGTATCAAGAGTTAATTTGAAGAACAATGTCTGAAGATCGAATGTTGCTCCATCTAGAGGTATCTGCGAGAAGAGGATTTGAACGTGTTTTTCAAAGATGTTAAGATCTGCTACTTGAGACTTGTTGAAATTCGGTCGCACTAAAGTCTAATAGCAAATCAGTATTTGGATTATCTGGATGAATACTTCCATATTATACCCTTGAATGTTCCCACTGTGCCCCATCTATAGAGAGGTTAGTTATGATACGGAAATTATGATCATCACATGACAAACCTGTGGTAAAAATCCCTTCACCAAGAAGGGGTGCGAAAGCTACCCGTCTTCCTCCTAAGTCATAGTCCTTGAACTTGATTGAAAGTAGTGTCTTGATATTTTCCGGTTCGATGGTATTGTAGAAATGGAATCCCATCATTGATAGCACGAAAGTATTTCCATTGTCCCTGTATCTTTCGAATCCGGTTTTCAGCCTTATTTTCTGCTTGGCTGAATTGACTTGAATCTTGTACATGTCCCATCCTATAATACGTTCGCGTTGAGGTACTCTGTGAACTGGCTTGCAGCCATGTGATTTTTGAAATCGTCTTGCAGAAATATACTTTGTGATTCTGTTGAAAAGAAAAGCTGCAATGACGAAAACGAAGATGAGGCCATGGAAGGCCATTGAAGGAAGAAGCGAAGGGGTGATTGAAAAGATGAGATGAGGCTTAAGACGATGAAGCAAGAAGATATATTTGGAGAGATTTCTCGGTATTTAGATGAAGAGAGTGAAGAGGTCAAGGCTTGTTGAATGGACAATAACATAAGCATTGAAAAGGCTGAGTTCCTAGAACAGCTGAGATTGTGGAGGGGGCTGATTGTGATTGGAATTTATTTTACGGATTCGGACCATTCACCCAAGCGTTTGCGTCCAAGTCTGAAGACTGAAATTTGAGATTTGAAGATATTGAAAGAATTGAAAGGATTGATTACGCAACCAACGCTTGATTTTTTTCTTTTCATTTTGCTCGACGACCCACAAGACGTTGTCTTTCATATGTCATGGTCACTCATTCGTTCAATAACGAGTGAATCATGATCTGATCATGGGTCGAAGGGATCCTTGTTTTGATGGAATGTCATAAACGATGCATCGAGGAAGAGTGATTTGCCTCAATCGCTTGGAAGGGGATCAGGGTAGCATTGAAGAATCCCAACCATTCATTTTGTGTATCAGATCTCATTTATTATCCTAGCTGGCTTACCGGTATCTGCATTGTACGACCATCTTAGATCTCACGTACATGTTTCCCATTCTTCCCATTGGTGTCGTTAAGATTTCGTTTCATCCCATTTTGGTTATCGGGTAGTAATCCCATCTCCACGTTGGCTTGATTGAGGCGGACGTATCTGCGTATCTGCTATCCGTAATAGTGAGAGACATCATGCATTGATCATAAGCTGGCGCCATCAAGGTGATTCTTTCACGTTGATTGTGTACCAAGTTACGAAGTTACGAAGTGGGATGTAAGATTCTTTGATATTTGGTTGGTCAGATTACGAAGTTATGAATGCAAGATTGCCTCGGTTGCTGACTAATTTAGTTTCAAGTTTCTGATTCGTGATCTGCCCGTTACTTCGGCTCCCTGACCAGGAATCGATTCTGGCCGGAATCTGCTTAGTTTTTCGGACAAAATATTGCATCTCACACTTTTTCCGAACGGTGTACGTACGAGCACATCTGGGGTTATTCCTTTATTGCATAATTCCTTAACAAGAAGGATCTTCACCGTAAAATGCATAAGACTTCCCGAGACTAGGTTCATACATAGGTATGCCGGTACGTAGCGGGCGTCAATTGAAGATGCGAGTGGATAACAGTACGAGTTCATTATTGGTTTCTTGGTGGCGGGAGTCAATTCTTCGGTAGTCTCAAACTAGTAGGAACCATCTTTCTTCGAGGCGAATAAGATCAGGGGTCTCATAAGATCTGGATATTTCACTGTTTTTGGGGATTCCGATTCGATTTCTTACGCCAGATGAGCTGTATTTGCAAGTTGCCTCTGTTAATTTTCAGCAATGGCCGAGATGAACTATAAGACCCGATTTTCTTTTCTTGTTGGCCGTTCGGACATTCCGGAAATTCAATAGTCAGAACGAAATAACGATTACTGCTGAAAGACAATCCTGCTCCACAGGTACCATCTCGGACAAGGTTCCAGAGTAGTGGGAGTTGGTGTGTTGGTATCTGTTTGATCTAAGCAAAGCTGCTTGTCTAGGTGCAATTTTGTTCCCTGATCGTTTGCAAGGCCGTACTTCAATCTTCCGGCCCCAGTTCCTTACATCCATTCAATTTGGGTCCGGCGTGAGGCCAGTAGCAAGGCAGATGGAGGACAGAGGTGATGAATTAGAGTTCAAGAAGGGGTTCTTAGATCTTTTTTCTCTCTCAAGATCCATTAGACCTATTTCTTCCCCGGATTATCGCATGAATAGTGTTGTTGGATCGGCCAAGTTGCTTTTCAATCGGCATTCAAATATCAGTCGGGCCCTATGAGACATTTAGATTCTTGCCGATATTCTCTCGCGAAGGGACCGATTCTACTGATCAAACAGGTAGGCCGAGATAAACGATTTTTTGTCTGCAAACGTGGAATGGTCATCTTGGCCGAGTTTGAAGATTCTTTGCAATCAGTTCCATAAACGTAGATTTAACAGTGATTGCTTCAAAACAAGCTTAGATCAGATTCTGGTTTGATTGATTCTCTCGAGGTTCATTCTTCAAGACTTGTGATGGAATGGTTGGATGCAGCTACCGTTTTGTTGAGTCAAAGGTTTGTGAGATGTGAGTGTTTTTCCCAGGTAGAAAAACATTATCTTGCAACAAAGACCACACGTTTCAACATCGATAAATAGATTTTAGATAATATAGTCAATGTACCTTTCAATATAGAGAATTATCGAGGTCAGAAATCAAGAGCTTGTGGAATGTCCATATTCATATTTCATATTCAAATCTAAATGATGATTGTTTAACTTGATATCAAATAAGTATCGAAAGAGTACATATTTTTGGTTCTTTTGTCTTGTTGGAGAAAGAGTCAGCACGCGGGCAGGCTCGGCAGGCTCGGCAGGTTGCTGCATCAAGGAACATGCTTTGGATGAAAAGTCGTGAATGTCGAATCAGATCAAAGAAATTGTTACACCACATTGTGACCAATCAAAATGGCTCTTTTCAATCAAAATAGTGGAGAACGAAATTGGCGCTTATCTTGACTGACTACAAAAACACTCAACTTCACTCTCCATTCCTAGAATTCTTCTTTCTTAATTCAACCACGACATTATTATCTTTCGATAATCAAGAATTTCACCCACGGGTCAAAAGGCCCGTTAGAAAACTATACAACAATGCCGGTCACCGCTACAACAACAGCAGGAGCCGGACGTCAATCCACCATCAGGTTCTACGCACCACAGCTTTCAGTCTAGTTCTACCAGTAGTCTCCTTGATCTCCAGAGTTCTTCACTTTGGGATCATAACTCTACTCCATCATTTCATGAATATGATTTCGGTTTCGATGTACATGCTCAATGTTCTGTTTCTTCGGCAGCAGATTCATTGTTTCCTCTTGATGCATTCACTGCCCCAGTTCAACAAGTACCTTTCCAGAATTCCCCTGATTGGTACTTGCCACAAACCGATTCTTTCGAATTTCTTACATGGAATGATCCGTCAATAGGAGAGGATTTATCACTTGGTTCCTCTCTCCCCATCGCTGCTAGTGTCTCTCTTAGTAATGATAATCTCCTGGGTCAATCGGATGTTGGATCCATTGACAATATGTCTCAATCCCATTCATTTCTTGATAATCAAACTCATCGAGGTAACTTTGGATTCCTACTTCTGACATTCTATAACACTACTAACATACCTTCAATAGCAATATCCACCGAACAATCCTCCCCTACCTCTTCAAACCCCAAATCAACTTCCTCACCAACTCACTCATCTCCACCTTCACCTCCCTCTCCCTCTCCCAAAACTCAGACTCCAACCAGTTCTTCGTCCACCATATCACGAGTTGAAAAACGCAAGCTAAATACTTTAGCCGCTCGTCGATATCGACAAAAACGCGTCGATCAAATGAGTAGTCTCGAGGCTGCACTCAAAGAAGTCGAACGAGAACGAGACGCCTTGAAAGTTCGTGTTGCGAAATTGGAGGGCGAGACGGATATCTTGAAGAGTTTGTTGAGTAAGAAGAATTAGGATCAGGTTTGGAGAGGATGGATAGATTTCTGACGTGCTATTTGCTGCAATGGGCGCGATTATCGAGACTTGAATTGAATTATCATACACCATTATTAGTTTGCTATTCGTGATGAAAAGTGTGATAGATGAAAGATATGTGAAGTGAGACGTTCAGACGATGTCGGTTCGATAGTTCATGGACCAGCAGATTGATCAATCATATCGGCAAAAAGGATTTGAATCACAGTCTCAAATGTATTGGGGGTTGAAGTAATTTAGGAGTACTTACATCTTCTTTTTCATCAGTTCTCATGGCTTTTCAATGCGATCTATTTGGATATTCACACTCGCATTTTCTGAGTATTAGATCACAATTATATTCTCTACGCTTCCTTATATACGACATTCATCTCACATACATATATCATCTTCCACACAATAACTCATATCTACAACTAGAAAAACACTCATGAGAAATATCCCATCACTATCCCTCACCATGAGTCGAAATGAATATTTGCAACTCATCACGGCTCTCGCGGATCTGATATTCTTCTTCTTGTCTATGTACCTGGGCAGTGTGCACCTGGGCAGTGTGAACCTAGGCAGTGTGTACCTAGGTATGTATACCTAGTACTAATCATACATACCGTCCTTAATCAATAATAATTCCCTATTCATGAACCCTCCAGTACTCCATACAGCCAGTACTCAGAAAACCATACACTGTAAGCTGTAACAAAATGAACTCTCTTTTCAAATTCCATCTTTCTTTTCCCTCACCTAAACTCACCAAACTCCCCCCAATCCTCCCACCTCATCTTCCCTCTCTCTATCCTCTTCATTCCCCCCTTTTCCAGCAGACTGCATATTGCAATGACATTCCTCGAGAAAATACACCGATTTGATTGGTTGGCATTGGCTGTGGTGTACTGAGGAATAAAGATTCATGATGAGTTGGTATGAGTTAGGGTGAGTGATTATGAGTCATTTCGGGGTGATGTCACGTGCGTTGGACGGGAGGGGAAGAGGATGGGCTAAAAATAGTTTGGGAGGGGTGAGTGTTGTGGGAATCGGGATTGGTTTACTTAGAATATGTCTTGTGATTTCCTCCTCGGTTGGTAGATATCTATTCTAATCATGTGATTAATCTTTCACCTTACAACCAATCGGCTTAGCTTGAAAACAGATATTCCACGTGATTTGGGTCTGTCTCGATCAAACCTTCGGTTTTGATGCTGCGGATGGTATTGTGTCCTGACTCTTTCAACATTTTTGTATGTATTCTTCGTTGTACGCAGTGATTTGTTTTGATATTCGATTCGCTCGAGACATCTTACTCAAGAGATGGATGTTGTTTGTTTGATGGTGTACTGTGAGGTTGCTGTACAGGTAGGGTTTCATGATGATTCCTGGGGTTCGGGATGGTGTTTATGTGCGAATATTGTTCCGAGGGATAAGAAGTTTGTGCATCAGAACTAAAAGCGGAGTCTAGATGATGGAGCTCGAATACCAGATGTGGCACTTCATACGGATATTTCAACCCAGGACGTTTTCTGAATCTGACACCTACCATCAGATCTTTTAACACGGTCTGTTCTTTCTGTTATTCTTCTATGATATAGATTATGCAGTCTACTTTTCACTCTCTTTTTTGATGTTGTATCATATACAGGCTAGAAAGCGTACGAGCTTCCGATAATAAGTTGCATCTAACATTTACAGTTGCTCAGAAGAATAGAAGATACGGTAAGTAGACAAGGGATCAGTGCCTTGAGTACGGAAGCTATTGCAGGATTCGCTCGATATCCACTGATATCATCATCCTGAGGTGTCATATAGCTGCGCTGCAGATTGCGGGTAACACGGCACAATCAATGCATCTTTTTCTGCACGAATCACAAGTTCTGGCTTCATATTGCAAGATGCATTTAGTCCTTATTTGAGCAGAGATTCTGGTTGTCACCAGTTACAATGCCCGGATATCGATGATTGCGGCGAGAGAATCGATAGAGTCAGAAATTCTACTCCGTCTTTCTTGATAGCTGCCAGTATAATCATAGCTATGGTTAAGCAGAAGGTGATTATCGATACCAGCTCGAGAGGAGATAAATAATACCCGATGAGGCAGAGGCGTCCTTCGCGCCAGACAATGTACTTGCTGAATTATGCAGGATGGTCGAGAATGGATTCGATATACACAATATGGAATTAAGAACGTTTAAGATGATTCAATGGGCTGAGATCTGTCACACCAAGGGTTGGATAATTAAGGGCTTTGGTCCATGTGAGAGGAAGAAGTTCCCGGATTCGACGATGGTAGCACTTGTGGAGCCAATCGAACCAGGACCATCCACAAACACTTTTGGTGCAGGAACAATTCGAGGTAAGATGCACAAACAGGAGGAAGTTATTGTCTTCATATGTTAAATGATAGCATGGAATTCTAGGAACGTTTCAAGCCACAATTTGAAAGTCACATCCAGTAGACACACTTCGACTCAGGAGAAATCATTCCTTCATTATTTGTTGAATTTGTTATTAATTTTTTGAATCTTACACTATGCGTAGGAAGATTCATTAATGTGGGAGGCTCAATGTTGATTCTAACCACGTCTCCCCTGTCAAGTATGGGTAACGTCACATTGAAGGAGGATTAAACTCCGTCGTATCACAATGTTTAACCAAGCTGAAAGATTGATCCTTTTACGAACTGCAATAGCATGCATAGATGGGAAGAATACACCGCGTATTTGGCAACCGATAGACATCAGATAATATATAAGAGCATCGAGTTTCTAGGCGATGGCCTTTGTCGGAAGCGCAATTTCGAAAGTCGTTGCCAGTGTTGCAACGCTACAGAACGAGACCACTTTTGCTCTTTCGAAATTCAATCTAGACTTTACAATTATCAAATTGGAGGCACCGAAAGATTATAAGAGCGTCGAGGAAAGCATTTCCAGCGCACGTAAGCACAATGCTGAAGCTGGCGGACTTCACAAGACAGCGCGAAAGTTAGGGGCGCTATTCGATGGCAAGGCTCCTCTGGCTCCAGAACTGTTCCGCGATTATGGTACAGGAGTTTCGGAATTGTGCGAAATCGAACGGTTGAACCCTACAGGAAAGTCACGACACGCCCTCTTCTCCAAGCATGTCGGCGCAGATTCAACCAGTATATGGGCAGCAGTGACTTCTGGTGATGGAGCTGTAGCAGTGCACTTACTTGCTTGCATGATCGCAAGGATGTTTACTGGACCACAGGCAATATCTCTGTGGATGGCATTGATAGAAAAACGCAAAGAAGAAATCGGAGAAGGAATTGCCAATACCACCGATCAAATGAAGGCTATTGCTGCGGCTTGCGCTGCTCAGCAAGAGGTCAGACGGGAAGAAATAGCTGATTGGGATAGCAGTGCGCGTTCCTGGATACAGAGTGCTGATTTGATCAAGGTGAAAGAGCACAGCAGAGCGATGCTTATGACAGATGCCTCTGGGCTAGAAGTCAACAATGAGTCTAACACATATCGCTGTGTTATGCAGGGATGGAAAGATGCAATGATCGCAATGAATAATCTCGTTACTGGTATTCCGCAACGAGTGGAATCTGGAGCTGCATTGTTAGGAATGACCTCGTGGCATCTTTACCCGGATCTGATTGTCCTGCAAAAAGGTATAGAGCTTATCAAGCAACGAGACAATTTGGTAGCAGACACGGGAATCCTGACTGTGGGTTTGCACACCGTGGGAGAGCCCCAAGGAAGTGTATCATGGTCATTACCTCTGGCGTACATGCAATATTATGGAACACCTGTTCGTAACTCTCGGCAAATTGGTGTCGAAAGTACTAGGATTTCCATGGATCAATTTGGCTACATTCTTCTTGGATCCGTGTTCTCGACCTAGAACCAATTTGCTCCTAACGTTATAAGAGGCCTGGAATGGATATTGAAGATATTAGAGACTTTGCGACTGCCAGAACACAATGCAGGGACCGATCAATCAACGCTCGTATGTATACAAAAGCTAATAGATAGATCCTCCTAGATTAGACAAATGCTTATCGCGGCTGAGCAATATGAAGTTGTGGATAATATCGAACAAGCTATTGCAAGGAAACTAGTCGGATTGGGACAACGACACGGTGATTTTGTATGTGATCCGTCAGATCACCCTTCGCCTGTTTTTGGCCTGTCGGAAATGCCTATGCTTTTCCGAGCCTCGTATTGCGAATTTAAGGGACTTTGCCGAAGAGCTCAAATATCTAACGCTGATGGAGTTATCCACTATCGACACACTGAAGAGGGGATAACGGTTGATGAATACACAACAATTGAAACTGTGAAGAGGGACCTCGGGGATGAGAGCCTCGGATATGTTCGTCGACACGGACTATCAGGCAATACTAGTCTTGGAAAGAACATTCGCCGGATACCAATTGCCAATCGATGTGAGCCACCTTGAAAATGTAGAGGTACATGCTTACGGCCTGAGTAACCATCGCTTGCATCCGCCAAGTCTGTCAAGCCAGGCTGTCCGTGCTGGAAGGTAGGAGGCTGCTCGATAGCATGTCATGATTGGAAGAAGGTGCCTTATGAAACTTGTGGCTCTTTACATAGTGATCTTTTAGCCAAAAGGATTAAATTCTTCCAATCAATAGGCGAGAAGTGATGACCTGTCCATAAATCCACTGATACCAGCGATGCAAGAGAATCTTCGCTTGATTTTGGAAATGATACAGATTTTCGCTCTTCATTGATTGAGCCATACCGAGACAAAGGTACGCGTTCTAGCTTGCAGAAGAATATACGAGACCACCTTTTCCTTTGGGCTAACTAGAATTCAAGATTGTAAAAAATCGAAAACTAGGGTCTATCTTCAGTATTGGATTGGAGATCGCACAACTGCTGAAATTGTGAGAATTGGCAGAGAAGACACACGACTCGGACTACCTACACAAGGAACTAAGCAAATGGGTGAGTCTTTGTCGGCCAGGTCACTGAATACCATGTTCAAAGGTGCGGATTTTGATCATATTCAATTGACGGAATGGCTTGCTTCGACTTTGAAATCAAAGGGTTACAAACAATATGTTACATCTTTGCAAGCTTGTGCATCTGCTGCTGAGATATATACACGGTTACCTGATACAACCATCGAAAGTAAGATCGTTGAGCAATCCTTAACCAACGCGCGATGGATAGCAACAACAGGATCTACCTCTACATCCTCTCTGCGACTTACGTTTTCGAGACCACAAGTTTTTGCCTATATTGCTATGTTTGATTCGGGTACTTTCAATCTAGATCCCGAAGGCTTAAAAGAAGTATTCGCCATTTCTTCGGGAAACTCAATCTTTGTCGCGAGCCCGCTATCGTGTGATCCATATGAAAAACCCACTGGGGTCGAGATACAACGTGTCCCTGGAAATATCGGTTATCCTGGACTCTCACTTCTGATTCCGCCACCTGATCCTAAGATCTTGAAACCAGGGCTCGGAAATTGGCAGCATCTTGATTACAAGCCATCCCGAGGGGTTCTCGAAGACAATCTACTCGGCACCTCTATACACTTGTCATTTAGTGGGTACGAATTGCCACTACAAAGCCTGGATATGAACAGAGACGGTTATATCATGGACCGACCAGTTAGACTGGTTGAAATTATAGCTCAGGTATTTGATCGTGAAAGATGGATAGCAGATCTTGATATAATGGCGGCTTTGGAAAACATCCAACTTTCTCGCGTGATTTGTCGAGCTAACAAAGAGGACACAGACATAGCATACGGTACCGAATACTCCATATTGTTTGATGGAGATGATTTGGCCGCTGCGGATGATTGGGATGAGATTCTGACTCTCAATGGAGGTTCTCTTTCGGTAATGAGGGCTACAGGAAGTTGGCTCGCAAGACTGGCAGCTACTGTCATAAACGTGTAGGCTCAAAGGTCTACAATCTTAGTACCTAAGGATGTTTGCTGAACCTGCTTGAACAGCCATTTGGGAAGAAAAGACTTTGGTGTAGGGCATGAGAAGCTTTTGATAGCTTAGATATCTTCATCCAGATTTCTATAGTCACAGTGATTTTTCTTTTTGGGTTGGAGACGCTGTTCTATCTCTGGTATGGCACTTGGACATCATTATGAAGTGGGCAAACAACTTGATGCCACCAGGATACAAATCCTGATCGAGGATTCTTGGATTAAGAAAAACGCGACTCAATTATCTATTTTTTGTTTTTCTATGATCTGAATCATGTTAATCTTTTTGCAATCTCATGAATATACACAGGGGTCAAGAATGAGCGCAGCTAGTTGCGGAATCACAGCGAATTGACAAACCGGTTTAATAGTTTGAATTATGTATCTTTGGTGTTCAACAATTATTTATATCATAAGGTTTGGGTTTTGATGTGTAAATGGGGATCAGATTTCAATTTGGTTCGGAAATACTCAACTTTACTATGTTATTTACATAATCCAAGACTGTTCTGCTGAGGTATGATCGAATATGAATATTTAACGCTAGGATATGAACTACATGAAGAAAATTTGACGGATGAGAATTGCGTTTGTGGTGATTCAACCGCGCGAAAAGGGTTTGGAATGAATCTTAAGAATATTCATATGGTGGGTTCTGAGTAATATATATGAATATATTCGTTCGTGATGATGAGTGTCGGGATCATTTCTCTTTATGAGTCTATCCATGAAAAAAAAAAGTACCATATAACCTTTCGTTTCTCCTCCAGTTCTCTTTACTTTTCACATTAAATTGCAAGTTGCATCGAAATCCACTATCACTTAGTACATCACAACATCAGGGGTAGCGAGCTCAACAATTATTACACTCCACGCCTACACATTTTTCTACTCTCGCAAAATTCTCCATTGGTATGTGGATGCTCCATACTTTTAGTTGCCTTTACTGATACAGAATATACTAACAAAGACATCAGAGTAGTTACGTCTCTGAAACCATAGACTTTTAACACCCGGTGACCCAGCTGAAACGACCAATTCGCGTCACTTACGATGACAAGACATCACCGCCATGACGGGCATTCAGGCCATTGTCACGATAACGATAATGACTCGACAAGAGCTGAAGAACAACGCCGTGACCAGGAAATCCCAGAGAAATTGAGCAAGGAGTTGAAGCAGCGTAGAAGTAGAAAAGAAAGACTCAAAATGGCTCGAGAAATGGTTGAGGAGAAGAAGGGTACACCATATTGGTTTGAAATAGATGAGTCGGAGAAACTACTTCGACATTGGAAAATCGCAGAAGAAGATTACAGAGAGCGACGTGACTCTGACGAAGGGGACATGGCCCGAGAGTTAAAGATCATTAGTCAACACTATTTTGATAGTGAACGCAGAGGTTTCGCTGTGGCTAAGTTGGAGAGAAAATGGAATGCCTTCAAGGCAGAGAATGATGCAAAAAAGAAAGAAAGAGATCAGGCACTTGAGGAAGCATGGTTAAGCGAGTTCAGTCGCTGGATGGAAGAGCTGTCGGTTGCAGACTCCTACGACACTCGATACGCAGGACCTGATGAAGACGGTGTTACTTGGACCCGTCAACAGCTGGTAGATATCAACGACGAGATTAGCGATGACCATCTGACAAAATGCTTGCCAAGTCTTCAAAAGCCTGACTCTAGAGGTACACACTGCAAAGACTGCGAAGATGAAGATGAGGTTGGTCCTTTCTGGGATGAGGTCCATAGGCTTGGACTTTAAGGGCATGGAATATTGTACTGTTAGCAATCCTTCCATGAGGAAGTAGATAACCAAATAAGTAAAGCGTGATTTTCAATTCAAGAGATAGAATTAATAATGCCACATGTGACGCCAAAGTGACTAACTTAGAGGATGATGACAGGATAAACTAGTTTTTGGCAGAGGAGAGGGGACAAGCTGCATAGAGAGAGTTTGTTGTACTGAACTTGTCGGTACGGTAGATCTCTATTGTATAGAATTGGACAGTAAAATGAGAATCTATCCTACCAGAGAGATTTTTACAGCAGAGAACCTAGGTAATGTATGATCAACTTTTCTACAATAGAGATCGATTGTTCAAAGATGCTTCAAAACAAAGATCGTTTGTGCGAAAACTACTTACACAACAAAAGCTCTATGTTCAAAAGTTCCTTGTAAAATTATGATCCATTGTAAAAAAGAGTCGCCCATGCAAAAGATATTCATTGTACTACATTGATTCATATACCTGATCACGATACATCCAACTCAAAATAATAAATGTACACATCAACATCTAGATCTACTCATACCTCAAAATCAATCATAACTTGCTTGACTATTCAATACTTAAGCTTTCAAGCCCCCGCTCCTAACAAACTAACTCCAGTCTGCAAAGCCCCTCGAAACATCAAATTCCTCCTTACATATAACAATACACTATGGCCAACAGACTCCAAGTGTTCTCCGGTTCCTCCGAATCCCTCCATCCGAATTTAGATATGGGCCCTCTCCTAGCTCCCTTACGCTCATGGAGCGCTATCGAGAAAGAGGTATCAGTAAAACATCAAAGAGAGGAAGCAAACAAGTCGCCTTCCCAGAAAGCCAAGGAAAAGCACGAACAAGATGCACAAGCTGCTAGACACGCTAGACGTATGCAGAATCGTGCTGCCATTGAAAAGAAGAGAGGAACACGATGGGATGCCGAGCGAATGGCGACAGATAAAGCCACAGAGACTCTACTTGATTGTATCAAAGCTCAACGACAGCTAGGCCATCATTTCCACAAATGGGGAAATAAGATTGCATCTAAACTCCATTCAAAAGCAACACAAGAGCGAATCGAAGCGGAAGCGGAACAACAGATCCTGTTTTTAGAGAGGAACTTTGAGATAGCTAGAAAAGCGGAAGAAGAGCGTTGGCTGCAGGAATTAGGAATAGGCTGCACACAAATTATCTACAAATAATCCGCTCTATAGGTTATCTATCAAAGGTTTTATTTACTCTATGGATTATCTATTGAGGCTTTAAAATTATTTATTTTATATAAATAATTTGTGAATTATATAAATATATTTGTTTTTTTCGCTTAAAATATAAAGCTATTCTTAAATTATTTTAATTCAAAAGTAATTTTATATTAATTTTTATACTAATTATAAAATTATATTAATATTATAAAAGATTATGAATAATTATACAATATATAAATAAATGGATATTTACAAGTAATTTGTATTTACTTTGTAAATTACTTATTTAGATTTTTGAATTATCCATTTCGCAGATGGATTATCCGCGGATTATCTGTTGAGGCTATTATCCGCCCCGCAGGTACCCGTTGCGCAGCCTAACTAGGAGAGAATCAGAATGCAACAAATGCCAAGATACATATTGAGTGATTTATGACATCGGAAAGTCTCCTGGAACGAGGAGGCTCTTGTTGCGAGGACTGTCAGTATGATTCTATACTTGCTTACTTGGAGGAAGAGGAGGCGCAACGTAGACTTAGGGCTTTGTATGATGAAAATTAGAGAGGTGGGTGTATTGATGAAGATTCCTGTAGGCTGGACCTATGGGATTGCAAAATTTGAGTTCGTTTGAGCTTTGTAATACGAAATACGAATATTATCATTATTCTTGACTATGGGAAGACTATGATCTTGATGTGACTGTGATTGATAGTTGATATCGATAAGTCTTGTGAAGTGTGACTGTGTATCGTCGCCTGTGAATTATTGAGAAAACTATGCCTGATGTCCATTGATTACCTTGAAAGATGTGTAATGAATCGCTCGGACTTTCTTATACTCAGGAAAGTTGCCAGTTGCATGTTCGGACTTTATTTCCCCTTCTCATTAAATTCTTTTCGAACGGTACACGAATATTTATTGCAAGTAACGTGATTCTCAATCAATCTTTTCAGTATTCTTACCATCAACTCTATTATGACACTCCTCCGTCCAATCTTCTACTCATTTCTCATCCGAAGAACTCGCTTGAGATAATAATCATGACCTCTAGCCCAATCTGCTGGCATTGCTTCCCAATGCCTGAGCTTTTGTTCCAGTATCCAGGGATCGACGGTCTATATTTACCAAAAGCAACCCTATTCGCATTGAATCTCAATTCATACATTCACAGTTTCTGTCAAGACAAATAAAATACATTAAGGTTACTTGTCGACCATCGCTGTCTTATGCGTCTCGACGTAGAGAGATTTTAGAGGCACGAACTGTCATGCATATAAAAAGAGATATTCCATCATGCTTCCTGTTGGTTCTAAAGAAACGTTGTCGTCGATATCATGGAAAGTTAGAAGTTCAGATGACAGACTGGAATAGCTGCGTTCCCGCAGTACTCTTTCCTGCCGTCTGGAAACATGGATCAGAGATTTGAACAGAGTTGATCAAAACCCAGATTAGTGATGAACTTTCCCAATCGAAAAGCGTATGATGAACCTACTCATCTCCTATCTATCTTCAAGGAGAAAATGATAGAGGAAAGTGCGAGTTGCGAGTCTTCATCGTGAATTCCCTTTCCGTCTCCAGCACACCTTCTCCTTCGGATTCCTCCTGCTTTACTCTCCTCTATTTCCTACATATTCTTCGGACCAAACTCTTATACATGAACATCAACTATACAACATTAGATTATCATAATATCAATTTTCAACTGTTCGACCTCATTTTGGGACATTTCATTTATATTAACCATCGCCTTCGCAGTTCTTATTCTTCAAACTTGGACATTGATTTCCTAATCTTGGATCAGTCAACACAAAACAGCCCATTACTCCGTCGAACGATATTCAAAACCACAGAATTTCATACAAATCATTACATACGCTTTCAAGCATTTCTCCTGAGTCCTGACTGATATTCTTCACCCGTAACCTCTCCTTCAGATCAATTGCCGCCCCAGAAAGTCACGAGATCCTCACCAAACTACAGCCAACTACGTTATGGAACCTCCACGTAGGAAGAGGAAGTGCGTGAGATTCGCCGGGGTAGACTTCGACGAGCCACCGCGCATGCCATCGATACCAGAGGATGGCCCATCTCAAAGTGTATCCAATTCTGAGGTTTTCCGAAGAATGGAAGACGGGCTTGCCACGGTAGGTACCATTAACCGAATTCCACTTGAACGCCGACGCCAAAGACGTATGAGAGTACGAGAAACGATGAAAGCGACAAGGGGACCTTGGGATACTGAAAGAGAGCAATTGAATGCATACGCGAGAAAGCGGTTAGCGACAGAAGATGTAAGGCTTAGGGTAATCAGAGCGAAGAAAGAGAATCTGACGAGGACGGAAATTGAAGTTATTGAGGAACTTAAGCGTCAAGATGAGAAAATAGTAAAGAGTGAGGAACGTTGCGAAGAAGAATTGAAGAAGCATTCGGGGCTGATCAAAAGAGTCACGAGAAAGAAGAGACGCAACTCGATTAAAAAGACTCTAGAGCAAGAAAAAATCGCTTACGAGGCTGTGAAAGATAATCTCAGGTTACAAGCGAGAGATGCTGAGTGTGAGGTAGACAGAGAATTTTTGTTCAAAAGGGAGATAGATTATGAAACCAAGAGATTATGGGAAGCTGAAGCGACTAGATGGGAAATGGAGCTGGAGATTCCAACCCTTCTGAGAAAAATCGATCTCCCGCCAGAAGAGCGAGAATATTTGAAAACCTCTATCGGTAATTCTTATGTGCATAAAAGATGGTGTATGGCTGGTCCTGTTGACAGGGAGCCGTGGTCTTACCGTCCCTATGAACGGAAATGGGTCTGCGAGGATTGTAGGGCTGATATTAGATGGGAGAGGAGATTACAGGAGAACTCAGAGATGTCAGGTACTCCATTTCAGAATGTCAATCGACTTGTATAAGCGTGTGGGTGTTTTGTGTATTCTTTTTTGCCCCAACAGCATACTCAGCGGAATTAGATAGCGAAATATAAACGTAATTTCAACTTTATCAGGTATCTGATGACCCTGACAACAAAAATTCTACCGTAGAGGTTGATTGTAAGACTGAGAACATTTGTAACCCTAAACACTCGCTAGTGGTGTCGTGGGGCGTGACAAGAGTTCAACTTTAACTACGAATGGACTAACACTCTAGCACCTTCACATTTTTCCTGAGAACTTCCAGTCAGACGATACTCCTAGCTTCGGTACATAAGTTTCGTATCTCATCCTCATTTCCTCTTTTGTGATACTATCCTTGAAAGGAATCGATGTTGTTCAGTTAGCATTGCTTGGGAATCTTATTCGGTGATGTTGCGAGAATGGACTTCACAAATATGTTTTAACATTGGTCTGATCATTTTGTTGTTGATTGTAGAAGATACAGCTCGGTAAACGATCGATATACGTCGTCTGAGGAGCAAGCAATGCATGATCCTGTACTCGAGGAATCAGTGTTGTGATAGGAGGGAGGAAGTTCGATACAGCGGGTATGGATATAGAGCTGGAGATGAATATTTCTGTGTGTGTTGGGTCGAGGATAAATTCCGGTTCAGTTTAGCTGCTGTTCTCTAGCACAACTCGCTGATCCGACACTGGGAATTTCGGGGATAGAGATGAGGTTCTTCTCGTGATGGTGTTGTGGGATATTTGGCTCTTTTCTTGACTTTGTTCTTCTGTGCATCACCTATTCCACCTTTCTTCACTTTCCTCCCCTTCTTTTTGCTCTCCGTCTTGGAGACATTTCCTCGAGACATTTCCGATCCCATAATACCATTAACATTAAAACTTCCTCTCACATCACAGCCAGTCGACTTCAACATATCTCTGGGTCCTTACTCTTACACATTAGCTTCATATCCCGTCCCAGAACCTCATCAATCCACCCTTCTCCCACCCTCCATAACAAAAATAATAACTCACTATCCACGCCCCAATCCCCCACTCCCCCTAATCTCCCACAAACACATCCTCTAAATTCATGCGCACAATTCTGCATAGGACGTCCTGGCTTCCGTACTAAAACCAGTAGTCGATTGGCATGCGTACATGTTGTTGCTCTGTGCCCGCGGATACATGATTCGCTGTGGGTTCTTGGGGTTAGTTGAAGGAAGGTAAATGGGGGATGAGTAGGGAGATAATTTCAGAGGAGCCAGAGGTGGGAGAGCAAAATGAGAGAAGCAAAAGAAGAAATGGGGACACGATACCAGGAGTATTTTTTGGAGTCGATGATGGGCATGTTGATTGGGTGCGGTAATGTTCGAGGATAGGGAGTTGTGTTTTAATAGGTATAGATTGGGAGCTAATAGTGATGATAGTCATGGACGATGTTCGTGAGCTAAATGAGATCTTTTGCGGAGAATAGATAGATTCAAGTATCATTTGTCACTAGAAAGAACAACAAAGTGCAGCCAATCCAGTTAATAAATCTCCAATCACCAATTCCCTATACTTCAACCAACACCAATTCCGATAAGAAAACCTATAAATACAACACTCATCCAAAATTCCACACATAGCCCAAGCAACATAGACACACATACCTACATCCTCACCTGCTCTCCAAAACCACAGCATGCTTAGTAAGAAACCTTCTCAACTCCCTCAACTACCCTCATCTCACCAAACCATCTCATCCATCACCTTCATACCAACAAGTCAAGTCCAGTGTCCCCCCAACATAATCTACCAGCTCCTAGCTACCCATCCCATACCCCAATATGCCGCCAAGCACACCACAAAAAGTGAGCACATTAGCGCAACTTTCCCTGCGCGAATATGCGCGCATTATTATCGATTGGGGGAATTCCCATTTGAGGGTTGAGATGTTGTGAATAGATATGTAAGTATGTAGGACTAATAAATAAATGCTTAATCGATAGTTTTAGAGCGGATATGAGATTTTCATTTCAGTCTATGTTGCCACATGACACAACTCGCACTGATTAATCGAAATCTAGAAATTTGAGACACTAGACCTCGATTTATTTGATAGTTATATATGGGTTTGCTGTGTTTGAGCGTATTTGAGCAGTATGTATGTAAGTAGTAAGGTATGGAGGAAATCTTGACTGACGATCATGGAAAGGGATGGGTTGAAAATGAGAGGGGAAGTATAATACCATATCTTGCATAAATCTGCTCCTGATTTCTTTGATATACTTTGCGTTCTGATATAATAGAATAGGTAGAGGTTTAAGTCAGGTTATCAAGGCGATTGAGAAAATTGGAATGGATATGAATATGGATATGGATAAGGATATGGACATGAGTATGGGTATGGACATGGACATGTCATCCAGCGCAGCGAACACTTCTCTATCCCATGCCCCGTGCAAAATGTCCGTGAGTTCCCCCTTATCTCCTTAATATCTCCATACCATTTATATATTCCCCAACTCCAAACGGCCAACCCCCATACTAAACCAGTCTACCCTAGATGCTTCTCAACTTCCACACCACATCAACCTGTTACCTGCACCCTTCCCTCCAAGTCCATACATCCATCCAATTCCTCCTCGTCTGTCTCTTTTCCTTCCTTCTGCCCATAATTCTCGAAACAACCCGTCGTTATCAACGTACCTACGATCGGTATCTGCGCTCCAAGAACACACATCGTGCACAGCAGAAGTCCCTTGAAACAGCAGATGAAGACGGAGAGGACAAGCTTCTCCTCGGACACAATGGGAATTCCAAGCCAGCGGATAGAGCTGGAATCTTAGAGTGGAAGTTGATGCTCATTCCACGGATTTCCGTCGAGGTCTGGGAGCAAGTTTTAAGAGCGGGGATTCATGGAGTGCAGTTTGCGATTTCTTATACGGTGATGATGATGTGGATGTATAGTAACGGTAAGACTATTAACTATCTCATCCATTCCATCCATCCAATCTCATTCTACCGAAACTCCTTACTCGCAGAGCGCATACTAATTGAAGAAGGATATATCATAATCTGCATCCTACTAGGTGCAATAATGGGATTCGGAATGTTCACGCGTGATATGCTGGAAGGCTCTGGCGCTACACAAGTAGAAAAGGGGTAAGCTTATATCCTTGAACATGAATAGCTTCGTTGGGTATTCGAAATGTAATTAACAATTGATATAGTGAGAATGACGGGAGAGGAGAGAGTTGTTGTTAGGCCGGGAAGAAGAAGCTTTGGATAAGTTACTTGGAAATATGAAATGATGAAGTGATTGGTGAGATTGGGACTCGGAGGAATTGGGCGATGAATGGAAACAGTCGGCAAGAAGTCGAACAGGAGGCGAAGTTTTTTTGAATAAGGAGTGCAAATCTGAGTGTACATGAATTAATGTCTCCCTGTATCGACTCCACCTACCCATCACACGTGGTGCTGGAAATATCACGACTAGCTAGAACAGTGATGATTGATTCTCTTTTAGAGTGAACTCTCATGTGGCTGCAGATGCCAATCCTTGCAAGAATTGATTCTTGTAGTGGTGGTAAGATGCGGTGTGTACAGTGGTGTCCCATGAACCTCAATTTTGAAGACTGTTCTCGACGAAAACAAAATGCCCAACGTAAATCCCATGATCCAATTGCACATTCCCATCTCGAATGACGCTAAAATTCAAAGATTGATTTCAAGTAATGACTTTTTATGTCGTGTATCTTGAATTGATTAGGAGGCTTCCCCCTCCTCGTTTGCTACAGGTTCGACGATCTGAGGTGCGACTTCGTTACTACTTGGGACTGCTCCGCCATACATGTTGGCTAATCGCTCTTGCTCCTTCTTCTCACGCAATGCCTCAGTCTCTCGTCGCATTCTCTCCATATTCCATGCATCATCCTCATTATCATCGCCTTCATCCTCATCTCCACTGGCTTCCCAATCTCCCTTCTCGAACATAGCACGACCAGTAGCTTCTTTGGCAAGTCTAGCTTGTTCTTCACCAGCCTTCTTGTCCAAACGCTCGGCTTTCCATTTAGCAAATGTCTCTGGCGTAACTGGTGTTAATGTGCCAGTAAGCTTGTGTCGTTCAGACTCAAGGAAATCCTCAAGTGTAAGTGTCTTTAGAGGTGATTTATCCATAAGAGCCTTTTCTGCAGCACGTTGTTCCTTGGTTTTAAGGACAAATCTGTGTAGGGGTCAGTAGCTGCACAAGTAGTTGAATGAAGTGATGTGACATACCCTGGTGGTAATTTATGTTGGTACATACACTTGTCCCCTCCATTTGGACATGTCCAAAACCAACCATATTTTCCCTCCTCCACAGCATCGATGAAGAATTTGCAAACTTTCTCTGTTGTAGTCTTTTGATTTCCTTTCTTCGATAATACAACGGAGCGCAATTTCTCTTCGTCCCAATCGTCTGAAGTTTCTTCCTTTCTCTTCTCTGCTTCTGCCTCTCTGGGATCTTGCGCAAGATCAATTTTTGTCGATTTGCGCTCAATGTTAAGGTCGTGCGAGAATTTACACTTCCTACCCTTCTCACAATGGCCCTTCTTGTAAAATTGACAGAGAACTGTTTTGGGATCGACGCCAAAGGGGACTTTTTGAACTTGTACAGGCTTGAATAATTCAGCTGCCTCTTTCTTCGCTGCTTCTGATGCTATCTTTTCTCGTTCTCGTTGTTCTTTTTCGGCTTGCCGTTTCTTTTCATCGGGAGTGCCTCCAGCTTTATACGAAGTTTGCATTCGCTCGATTTGTTTTTGCGCCTGGGCTCCCTTCTTGTTTTTCATTCCAAAAGTCTTGTCTGCCACTGTGGTCGGCGCCTTTTTAGGCTGATCCGGTTGGCCTTTTCCCTTCTTTGGTGGCATTTTGTCGGATTGTTGATGATCAAAACTCTGTGTATTGTATAAATGACTGATTCAGTCGATGGTCAGGTACGCACCAGGTTCAATGAAAGGGTTTCGATGTGCGGAAAAGACTGTGTTTGTATTCCCCTGATGTGTGACTAAAGAAATAAGTAGTATTTTTTAGACTGGTGATGAAATTCAAATCAAAACCATCATAATCAAGGACTTGATTGATCTTGGTGGGGTTAAAATTTAATGGCTACTTTAGCGAATGGGGCTAGTAGGGGAGTGAAGCTTTGACTTTGGCTCCATCAAGCTGGCCTTATTACATGGGAGCCGCGAAGCTGTTGCGACACAATCTATTTGACTTGGTTGACTCAACAAACCCAAAGTCAATCACAATTAAGTACAATTGATATAGATATCGAGGCTTCGTGGTATGTTTCCTTGGAAATCTTCTGTTTGTTGATTGGAAGGAGAGAAATTCTAATGGTTATTTAGTCTACTCATCGTCTCTCTCTCAAAGACCTTACGTGGCCTCCTTCAATACTCTCTTCAAATCGCAATTCGAATAACAATTATTCAAGATGATTTCCGACGATGAACTTTACCGCCTCGCCATATTCCTCGGCTCAGCCGCAATGCTTTTAATTGTCCTTTACCACATTCTCGAAATCAACTCTGTAGAAGAGCCCAAATCAGACAGCAAAGTTAGCTCCACTTCCACATCTCAAGACAGCAAAGCAAACGTGGCAGGAAGATGATTGGAAAGGATAGTTTTGAGTTGAGAGGATGACTGCTTTTACCATGAAGCAGGATATATGTGGCCATAGGGAAGCTGGGACAGAGAGGTGACTGTACGACATATTTCGACAATCCTCTGGGCATTTGTACTTTCTGGGTTCTGGAGTTCTGATGGCGGATCGCTGGACAGATGTTGCTAGAAAGCTACGTGGAAAACCATGCGGAAAACTCTTGGGCGTTTCTTTTCATACCTTGATCCTCCTACTCATAGAGTCAATGTATCGAACATATTACAAGATTGTGCTGAGCTGCAATCTTGCGCCCTGTATTTATTATATGAATTTCAATTATGAATCAAGGATCGTTCTGGTGACTGGACTGGAGAATTGGTCGATCAAGTAGGAAGCCGAGTAGTAATTTGAGGAGATTGCGATATAAACAAGGGACAGAATATTTGAGAGAATAGCATCGAAATCCATTTTGACCAGTCCCAATTTCGCTGTACTATATTCATCTTGATGTACGATGTATGAAGATATGAAGAACTTCCTACGATGCACATACCATACCCACCTATACTGTAACAATGTATCTGTCTATTGATTACCAAGTAGCCCTACCAGTACATGAGTGATCCTGACGTATCGAATCGAATGGAATCAAACTTCAAAGTCATACGTGTAATCGTGATCCAAGAAAATCATCCAAAGGTTCTGGTAGAAAGAATTCACTTTGGGCACATATTGGAAGCTACGCTACTTGATCTAAGCTGAAATGGGTTAAATAAGTCATGTGTTGGAAGAAATGATGACTCAACCTCGTACTAGCGTCAAATCGTGTCGCAAAGTAAACTCATCTCTCCCTCCTTCCACCTCCTTTCAAGAACAAACAAATACTTCAGACACTTTCGACATAATCCATCAACAACTCGATCTTCAATACCTTTCTATTCATAACTTTCAAAATCTACAAATTCTTCAAAGAAGTCAACTCCATTGATTTGCGACTCTATCCAGCTTTGGATAATCGCAAATTACCCTTGCCATAATAACAACACCTTCAGGCGCGTCTTCAGCCAAAGCCTGATCCTCGTAGAACGCATTTCAGCGCATCAGAATTCAAAGTCAGCTAGCTTCTTTCCCATCTTCGAAAATTATTGATCAATTCATACTCGGTCAATACTTTCTCTCTATTACTTGAACCTAACGTTACGAACCATAATCAGCCAATCTCTCACTTCCCAACCCAAAAAGCTTCACAATGTCTTCTGATAAACTCGGTCAATCTCTCGATGAGATCCTTGCTACTCAAAGAGCATCAGGCACTGGACGTGGTGGACGTGGAGGCAGTCGTCGTGGTGGACGTGCTCCAGGTGGTCGCAACGCCACTGCAGCTCCAGTCGGAGGTGTATCCAAGAGCAAGAAGCCAGTCAAGGGTGCAGTAAAGCCTGCTCCAGCTGGCCCCTCGGGAGGAAATGCCCCATCTCGTATTGTGGTTAGCAACTTGGTATGTCTATCTCGACACATCTTACTCGAGGGTCGATTGCTAACGACTTTTACGTCAGCCATATGATGTGACAGAACAACAGATTAAGGTATGTTGCCGTTGAGGTCTATGGCCTTGAAGGAACTTTTATCGATATTTTTATACGCCTCTTCTTGATTCGTCGAAGTGGCTAAGGCCTTGACTATACGAGGACCCATCCCTATTACCCATCACAAAGTCTTTCTTCATACCTTTGCTCGCAAATCGCTTGATGCATTGGTAGGATTGAAGTCAAGCTCGTCAGATTGCATAAGACCAATAATTCTTCAGGTTGCCTGGCAAGCTCCTGATTTCGAACTTGGCGCAGACGAACGATGGTGTAAATTTTATGACTGGCATGCCATTGCATGGCAAGAATAATGGAGAGAGTTCAGAGGGGTTAAGCCAAGACAGAAAGATCCAGCGAGCAGAGTGGTTGAGCAAACACAGCATAGCACAGCACAGCATTCATCTTTTTGGGCCTTTGTTCCAAGAACGTGTTCGTCATTTCATGGAGAAGCAGTCGCACCTATCTTGTGTTTATGAGTTATGGAATTTATGATTCTTCGACGTGTTGCACCTGAACACCTCTTACACAGAGACGCATCGGTTGGATACGACGATCAATATTACCGATTGAGCATGTTGACTGTTCATCAGTGCGAGTTGGTTGAATTTGTTCTTTAAATAAGCATACTGATAGTATCACTAACGCTGATCGCTCGCTCGCTGGCTGTTTTCCATGGAGGTTTCGGAACGGAAATCCTTTTGGAACATCGCGAATGCCCTTTTTCTATGTGGACTGCCGACTTCGAAGAAAGTTCCTGCCGTGCCTCTTTCTCAGTAACTAACACCATGTGTTTTCAATGATTAGGAATACTTTCACGAAGCAAAATTGCACACCAAGATCGTTCAACTAGTTTATGGTCCAAACGGAGCTAGCCGTGGCGAAGCCAATATCACCTTCCATCGCCCAGGTGATGCTGCCGCTGCTGTATCTAAGCTCAATGGTGTCAAGGTTGACAACAGATCATTGAGGGTAAATTCTACTACTCGTTATCGCACTTAAGTTCATTCACTTACCATCAATAGGTTCAACTTCTCGTTGATGCCCAGGCCGCCAGCATTATGGAGGAGAAGCTTGCTAAGAGACTTACGGATCGAATTACTAGCATGCCAAAATCGCAACCAAAGTCTGCTGTACCAAACAAGGCAAACAGCAAGGATCAAGCTGGCAAGAGAGGAGGAAAGAGAGGCTCCCGCGGTGGTGCCGGTGCCACCACTGCTCGCCCAGCTAAAAAGAAGACCGCTGAAGAACTTGATTTGGAGATGGCAGATTACTGGGAGAGCGGAAACGCCGCGACTGCAGAGACTGGCACCGATGCTCAAGCTACAAATGCTGCTGTTGAGGCAACTACCAATGGAGACGCAAACATGGATGACGAGATCTTGGTAGGTGTCATTGTCTCTTCAATTGAATCATAGCATGCATGCTAATCATATTGCAGTAAAAACGTTCTCAACGGTCTGTAGAGATATTTACAAGAATGAAGCACCATATTGAGAATACTTCCACACCCTGCACCAACTTCCCTCTTTACGCTTACGTCGATTGTATTATTGCTACTTCCTCATGCTTTTCTTTCTGCGATTTTCTAGCTGGGGTTTCTTTTCTACAGATGGGTGGGGTGGTTGGGGCATAAGAGTGAAGTAGAGAGATGACCAACGAGTTCTACAAATAATGGTTTTATGATGAGAGCGAGGATGGGTCGCTCACCTTTCAAATTGTATTTGAGCAATAGCGTCACAAGGATGGACGTTTTTCCTTGCAGCATTCTTGCCTTGGGAGCTTTTTTTTTCAATGTGTGTAATCCAGATTATAAACTACCTAGATGAAATCAATACATTGGCTGTACACATGACTACAATATCTTTGAATCGTAGACTATGTCCTTTCTGCAACACTGTGCAACACTTTGAATGAATTCCAAAATTAAGTTTTGGACATGTAAGTTCCTGGTATGTAAGATCTTACATACGACTATAGCACACCCAATTGTTCATCCGTGACGATCATTCTTGGTAGGAGGCGCTGGGTTAAGAAATTCACGTATCGTATCTGTAGGTACTAGGTGTTGGTATGTGTGTGCTTCTCTGATGTGGACGTGTGACTGTATGGAGGTGGTATACGTCGGTATTTCATGCGATGAATAGGGGGATGGGTTTTGTGGTGTGTGGCGTGTGTGGGATTGAAGTGGAGATTTTGTGCCTTGACAGGAAGAGGGGACGAGAGATGATGAGGGTGGTAAGGGTGAGAGATGCTGGGATTGAGAGTAAGAGATGATGTTGTATTATACTAAAGTAGTGTATTTTTGGATCGGAAATCGGGAATTTGATTCGACGTGTTTTTTGTAGGAGTTGAAGAGATGAGTTGGTGTTGGTGTTTGGATTTGGATTTGAGTTTGGATTTGGATTTGTGTGAGAGTGTGGGGTTTTGGTTTTAGTTTTAAGGCTGTGTGGTGTGTGTTGAGATCTTGGGGAGATGGGTGGAGGATGGAGGATGGAGCAGGGGAAGCGGGAGAGGGAAGAGACGAAGTGGGAGAGGAGAAGGGAAGGAAGAGAGTTTGTGGGTTGGGGGTCCAAGGTGGTTTGAGATGTGCTGGGATATGTGGTTTGATGAGGGGAGTTTTGGAGGATTGGGGATTTATGGGAGGAAAGGAGATTTTGGATGGAGGTTGAGGGGTTGAGGTTAGGGAGAGGGGGTTGGTTGAGGGGATTTTGTGGTATTCGAGGAGGGTATGTTAGTGCATGGCACAAGAGGAGAGGAGCAAGGCTGGATTCGTGACAGCTTCCGGTACGTGATATCATATAATAGGAACCTTCTTTTCGCGCGTTTTGACGATGGAAAGTTGTGATGCTCGAGGTGTGTGGTTGGTTTTATAGAAAGTGAGATCCTGGAATGTATGATTGGGAGGGTAGGGATAATGGTGGTTCTTGGGGTTTTGTGTTGAGGATGAGGGATGGGGAAATGAGTTGGGGAAGGCAATGGAAGGAAACGAGGAAAGGGTGGTTGTTTTATTGAAGAAAGGATGAGCGGGTCGGTGGATTGGAAGCTTGGAAGAGCATGTGTATGTTATAATGGCAGATGCAGGGGCAGCAAAATTGGCGAAAATGATATGATAGTCGTGATGTATGGATCATAATTAGGTGGCGAAATCATAAGAAAGGTTTGTGGGTGAATAATTCACGAGCTAGGTGTGAAAGATAGTGTGTGATGGGATCGTGAATCAGTGGCAGGATGTAAGGTCTGCACAGGTGATCATTCTAGTCTTGTATGGTACTGGATGAAGTCAGATAGTATTAGGATAGAAGGTTGCACTTATACTCCATTAACTCCAAATATATGATCGCTCGGTCTCTTGAATGCATGGGGCTCCTCAGTCAATCTACACTTATCTCTCCAGATATCTGATGTGCACCTATGGCTATAATGATGTAACAGTGTAGAGGCAAGATAGCGAAGTTCATAGAGTCTAGACCACCAGATACCGGGATTATAGTAATATGACAAGACATTGATGTTTTTTAAATCACAGAGGCATATGTTACTACAAGACTTGATCGCACAATATTCACCAGCGAACCCGTGGATAGCATGGATGTCTGTTCATTCCGAGAATACCTGTCGAATCACATATTCGGACGCACTACCTTTTGCTCAAGTCCTTCACATCCCTTCTTAATTCTCTTTTTCCAATCACTGGTCCAGGGGAAATATCCGGAGCTGGAGCGATAACATACATATCAAACGTTCTCACCACAAGCATTTCGCAGTTCGCAATCTTTACTCACAAGTCTTGAGTTATCCTATTCCAATCCATTCGTTCGTTCGATCCCCTAGACAGCACCACCACCACTCGATTCTACAAGACGATCCTAAACTATTTCTAGAAATTAGTATCCTCGCGAACGCTAGGTTCTTCTTGGCGAGTCATAGTTCAATTCAAAAATGATCAGCCGTTTCGATTTGTATATGCTTGTTAACACGACATAAATAGACAGACACAAACTTCGAACACACGTTGAGAAATAACAGAATACGCCAACTCAAACAGTCAGTCCTACGTGCCATTACGCTTGAATCAGCAAATATTAGTTCGTCATGCCATACAAGTTAGAAGGAACGTAGCAGCCAGCCCGATTATGCACCCGACGAATTGTACTTTTGACAAGCTCTCAAAAGAAGCGTAATTTAGAAAGATAGTTATTAAGTAGAACACCGGAGGATAAAGAGAGATACAGACTGGAGAAGAAAGAAGAAGATCGTGAAAGTGCTGAATGAGATAGATCATGGAGGGAACACGAAATGAACGAGAATAGACATAGGGAGAACAGAGTACGAAGTCGCGAGAGCGCTCGTGGGAGGATTGAGAGGAAGCGAGGAACGCCGTGGGATAAGGAGAGAAAGGATTTCGACGAGGCAATACGAACTTGGATTCGAGAAGAACTTGAAAAGACACAAGAAGTTGAGAATGAGAAGCAATGGAATAGAAATTTGAGGTCTGCGACATGCTTTCGTGGAAGTAGATCCTCGGAAACAATTCAAGCGCATATGAAATTGGAGCAGGAGGCTGAAAGAGAAGTGAACGAAGAGGAGAGAACTCGGAGAAATGAAGCAAGGATTGCGAAGTTTGAAGCAATGGCAAAGGCAGAGGCGGATCTTTGGATAGAGGAGTTGGACCTAGCCAACGCAGCTACAGGTTATCCTGATGACGAGACTTCTGAGGGCGGACTCGGTTTTGTCCATAGATATGGCTGCATGCCACAAACCTATACTTCTACCTCCAGATATCAACTATGTGCAGATTGCAGGGACGATGAAGATATGGCAAGGATAGAATTGCAAGAAAGGTGGGAGAGGGAGAGGAGACGAAATCAATGGAAGACTTAGTACGGTTCCCCTTGACCATTAGGCTGGACGTAGCGGTGTATATTTGATGTATTTCTAATCTATCAAGACTCTCCTTTTGGGGAGAGAAATTGGAAGCTTGTCTTCCAATAGTTAATAGAACGTGACTTTTGAATCATCCCCCCTTTTCACTTTAGCTAATCGTGCAGACAAGAATATCCGTGTGATTGGTAAGAAAGCTGGTATGAGACGCAAATTGAGGTGTTGTCCCTTCCACATGTAAACAAACATGCATACATTAAATGTCCGTGCACCGATGGCGGCCTGCACTAGCCTTGAGCTCACCCTGGCCAGCCTTGTGTTCACCGAAGCTATTCTGTACATTCAACTGCTACAATCCGCTATGAACGCGATGAAATATTAACATGGCTTTAACTTCTGTAGGTTCAATTCTTCCATATGATACAAACAACACTAACAAAGTGCAGTGGAAAACGTTCGATTTCTTCGAGGTCAGCCAAGTCAAACCGCCGGATGACGAGAGTAAATCCTTCTTCGAGAACAACGAAATAAGCTGCGTATGCTCCGGTTCCGAGAACCTCTTCATAGGGAGCTATGATGGCATTGTGCGAATCTTATCCTCAAATTTTAAGATCTTGCGAACATTCCAAGCACACGATGTTGGGTCGATAACTCATATGAAACAAGTGGAAGGCACATCGTTGCTGGTTACAATAGCTGTGCGTGTCAACGTATGGTGATACAACATCAGGCACTGATGTATTTTAGGAAGATTTATCAAACGAACCGATTCTGAAAGTATGGGCATTGGACAAACCTGTGAAGAAGACGGGCTTACCGACATGTCAATCGAGTTTGAGTATCCAAAATGGCCGGAAACAATTTCCTGTCAGTGGCATCTCCGCAGATGTGGATCGATCGCTAATTCAAACCAGATATCTGCATTTACCGCAATGGACGATCTTTCACAATTGGCTGTGGGATTCGGGAATGGTGCAGTGACCGTTATAAGAGGGGATTTGATCCATGATAGGGGAGCGAAGCAAAGAACAGTTCACGAATCCGAGGAACCGATTACTGGACTTTCATTTCGAGAAGAAGAACGACTCGTTAATTTGTACATCGCCACGACTTCACGTCTTGTGAAGCTCGTCATTTCAGGAAGAGCGCAAAATCAATCAGCTAGGCCGGTCGAAGATTCTGGGTGTGGTGTGGGATGCATGACAGTGGATAAAAAGAATAGTGATATATTAGTCGTCCGAGATGATGCTATCTATTACTATAGAGTCGACGGTCGAAATTCGTGTTATGGTTATGATGGCCCAAAAAGCTTGGTAGCAGTTTATGGGGATTATGTTGCGATAGTCTCTCCCCCCGCAACATCAAGTGCGACGAAATCCAGTGCCATTCGGCGATTTGGTGGGGCTCATGCAGATGATTTATTCAACACGTCGACATTCACCTTATTGGATACAGATCTAAAATTTGTGGCCCACTCGGAGTCATTAGTTTCGCAAGTCAAAGACTTGTTTATGATTTGGGGCGATTTATTTACGTTGACACAAGATGGGAAGGTTGGTAGTATTGGTCAATATCTTGATCGAAGCTAACAATATAATAGATACATCGTTATCATGAGAAGCCGTTACAACAGAGACTTGAGACTCTGTACCAAAGAAATCTCTACGTTCACGCAATCAATCTGGCTCAAAAGGCTGGTATGGACTCTAAGCAGCAAAACATGATTTTCAGAAAATCGGGGGACTTCTTATATCAAAAAGGAGACTACGATGGCGCCATGCAACAATATCTAAAAGCTATTGATAGCACTGAACCATCACAAGTTATCCGAAAAGTATGTCGCACTTGGGAATTTTTGTGAGGCTGTGGCTAATTTACTTAGTATCTTGATACTCAACGCATCCATAATCTGATTGAATATCTCGAAGAGCTTCATGAACATCACAAAGCAACAGCTGATCATACTACTTTACTTCTGAATTGCTATGCCAAATTAAAAGATATTGATAAATTGGAGAAGTTCATCAAATCTCCAGGTGATCTGAAATTTGACCTCGAAACCGCCATTACAATGTGCAGACAAGGTGGTTACTATGAACAAGCTGCCTACCTTGCGAAAAAGCATGGTGAACATGAGTTAGTAGTGGATATTCTGATAGAAGACTCGAAACGATACCCGGAAGCTCTACAATATATTTGGCGATTAGATCCTGATGCTGTAAGTCATCCATGTCATGACTACAAGATATACTGACTCCATTGATAGGCTTATCCAATTCTTATGAAATATGCCAGAGTTCTTTTGGGGCATTGTCCGAAAGACACAACTCAGGTCTTTATTGACTACTACACAGGAAGCTACAGGCCAATGAAAGACGTTGTTATTACTTCAGAAGCCCCTGTGCAGCATGCTGGGTATGCGGCTGGTGCCGCGGGTGCCGCTGTCAATGCTGTTGCAAACATGAGGGATTTGATTCCACTCCCTTTTATGAATAATTCGACTATTTCCTCACCTGCCACTGTAAGCAATGTTAATGCTCCACCGGCTGATGGTCAAGTAATTGAAGATCTGGAACCACCGCCGCCGGCTTATAACCCGCCGCAACCAAGGACTGCGTTCTCTTCTTTCGTGGATCATCCTGAGGAATTTATAGTATTCTTGGAAGCATGTCTCAAAGAGCCGGGCTTGAAAGAACGTGATAAGATTGATCTGTATACAACTCTGTTTGAGATGTACCTACATAAATCAAACGAAAAGAATGGACGTGATCGTGAAGAATGGGAAAGTAAAGCGAAAAAACTCATCGAGGGTGAAGATATTCCCATTGATATTTCCAACGTACTTTTGCTTTCCCATCTTTCTGATTTCAAAGATGGTACTACGCTTGTTCGTGAGCAAGCTGGTTTACGTTTTGATATCTTCCGATCATATGCTGCTGCAAAGGACACTCGCGGTGCTATCAAAGCTTTACGAAAGTATGGCCCAGAAGAGCCTCAATTATATCCAGCAGCTCTTGCATATTTCACATCAGACCCAAGAATTCTCGAAGAAGCCGGAGATGAACTGGACGCAGTGTTGGAAAAGATTGACACTGATGGACTTATGGCACCTCTGCAAGTGATACAAACATTGAGTACCAACGCAGTAGCGACCATGGGTATGGTGAAATCCTACCTTCAACAAACCATCGAACGTGAACGCGAAGAAATAGCCACCAATCGTCGTACGATCACCTCTTATCGTACAGATACGGAAACTAAACGTCAAGAAATCAACGAACTCTCGACTAAGCCTCAAACTTTCAACGCCACACGCTGTTCTTTCTGTGGCACACAACTAGATCTTCCCACGGTCCATTTTCTTTGTAAACATAGTTTCCATCAAAGATGTCTTAAAAATGATGACGAGGGCAATGTGGAAGGAGACTGTCCAACATGTAAAAAGGAAAATGACACGATTAAGGCGATCAGGAGAGGTCAGGATGAGACGGCTGAAAGGCATGATTTGTTTTTGGATATGCTTGGTAGAAGTGGAGATAAGTTTGGGATGGTGGCGGAGTTTTTTGGTAGGGGGGTTATGGAGGTTCCGGGGGTGGAGTGAAGGAGGGATAAAAGATGAATCGAAAAGGGGGCGGAGAAATTGTGGATAGGATGGAGTGGCTTGAGATGACAAAATAAGTTAGGTTGATAATAATATGCAATATTTTTTCTTTATCCCCTATATGCCATTTCTTAATTTGATTATGCTTACTTATTACCCATGTATCTATAATTTTTACTTTTCAAACTTTCGTGGTGCCAAGGTAGTACCAGCACTCCATGGTTCGAACACTGACCTCTAGAGCTTCCAAGGTTAGTGCACTAGAAGCAGGCAACCAAGCTTGTTTCATCTTGTGTGGCTTGATAGTCATCAAAGTTCTTCACTGTTGCATGACTGTATTTCAGCCACAAATCCTGAAGCGTAAATTTTCGATGGGTGAGGGTCAGTGCTAAAATACAATTGTGTCTAGCTAGGTAGGTATTGCTAGTTGGGAGACTGTGGCTAGTACGGGGAATGAAATTATTTTTACATCTTGTCAAATCTTTTTATGGCGTAATTGTAGGGTTGGTTTGTATGATGATGATAATGATGATGGTGGATTTGATTATTTTTTTGGATGGGGATGGTGATGGTGATTGGGATTGCTTGATGAGTGTGGTGACGGGAAGAGGAGAAAAGTACGTTGGATTTGTTTGGTATGAGTTTAGATGATCATTACTATCCTATCTGCGTGTCAAGAAAACCATAATGGAGGTATCACCTCGGTCCTAATTCGAGTTTCTCTGGACTAGCCCACCTCTACTGAAAAATTCAAGGGATCGACTTCCGAGTCCGGAGTCTTTCAAGAAAAATGCTCAATTTTAAGTTCCAGCATCCAGCACTTGAGATTTAGGGCTTTGATACGACGCAGAACTTATCCACTTAAAGGAGGAAAATGGGGAGCAAAAGTTCTGTTGCACATCTATATTTATGTTTTTATGAGGGTATCCTGATAAGTGGGTGATCGGTGTGTGGAACCAAGTATCTAAGACTGTACTGGTTTCTCTCTCGCTAGTTTGCGTAAGTGCGAGTAGTATTTTTGTTATAATCAACTTATATCTGGGAGGGAATAGTATCGCTTTATTGCGTATCTGTGGATGGAATCTCATGGGGGCATCCTAACCTGTTTCGAATTGGTGGGATTGTTGGTGTGGTCGTGTCGGCTTGCTTATTTGAAGATCGAGTTTGTAGAGTTTGTTCTGCAGAGTAGGGGGAATCTTTTTAAGTTTAAGGTTTCTTGGTAGAAGGGATGGAGAAGGAGATATACTTTCATATCTGATAGCACTTAGGCTGGTGAGAGATGAGAGATGAGTTCCTGCTCCTTTGGGTGAAAGATATGTAGAAGTATGGTTGATTGATTGGATGGATGGATTGAGTTAGTCAGCTTGGTGATTGATTAATAGACTGGAGATACTGAGAA